GTTAATGTAAGTGTTCCGAGCACTCACAATAGCCTAGGCTAAGCTATATTGTTCTATAAGTTAGCTGCATTAAATGAATTTTCTGTTAATATTTTCAACTCACAGTGGTTTACTGGGATGTAACTCCATTGTAAGCCAAAGAGCATCTGCACATATTTATATATACGTAGCCATACATCTATCTATCATCTATTTATCTATCACCTATTTATTCATCTATCCATCTAATGTAGCTATTTATCTCATTTACTCCAATACCTATAATGCAACACAACATTGCATGGTTTATTATATTTTCCCTCCTTTTCATATTTGACAATGAAAAATTTGGCTTTTCTTATCCACAATATATTTTCAAATTTGCACCATCCCTGAATGTACAGAAAGTATTTTCAAATCCATATGTCTATGAACAAGAAATCTACCCAGTATCTGTAGATCTTTTTCACTTTAGGCTTCATGTCTAGTATAAATCTAGGACAAAGGCAACTTGGATTAATTCCTTTTCTGCTCTTCCTGTCCATAAACTGTTAATCATCTTTCTCTGTTTGGCTCCGTATCTTACTCCATCCTTGTCACACCTGTTTGTTCGAATCTAGAGCCTCTTGGGAGTCTCAGAGTTCCCTTCTGGGCTCTAGCCCTTCTCTGTGTGTTGCCTGGGGCGCCATCTCCCTGTCCCTGTTTCATGGCCTCCACTCCTCCATCCTCTTTCCAGTTTCCAGAAGTGTTCACACCCACCCTCTCCTGCCATTCTCTTTGAGGGTAAAGATTTATTTCTTTTTAAGGAGTCTTTTGCTATCATTTTAATGGGATCACAGAGGGAGAGGGAGAGGGAGAACCTGGGCTCCCCGTGTGCTGCCTCAAACTCAACCCCCTGGGTCTCTACAAAGATCTGGATTTACAAGCTGTGAGCTATTGGCAAGCGCCTTGAGCTCTCCCAGCTTAGTTTCCTCATCTAGGACATGGGGGTGAGACACCCCACATCACATGGACTTGACACAGAGGGCATCAGACCAAGTGCTTGATGTGGCCAATGTGAAGCTTGACACCATGTTAAGTAAATGACACCTGGCGTTTTCGCCTGGATGCTGTTCCTGATGATTTAGCCTATCATTTGCTCAGACTCACTCAGGGCCCCACTAAGTGTTGAGCAAGTCACAGAGTCCCTAAGTATAGAAGGGACAGGGAAGGCAAAACTCCCAGTGAGGCCATCATCCCAGGAATCAAGCCCAGAGTTGGCTGTGTTCCTGGCAAGAAGCTGCTTCTCCTCCCTTGGCTTGTCTCAGTCCCAGGATGTGCTCTTTGCCTGGAATTTTAGAACTTCTTCCTTGGCCCTCGGTCAGATGGCCAATCAAGAGCCTGCCAGAGCTGTGTGCCAGTGTGCCTCTGCTGGCCCACTGCTTTGATGCTGAGGACACATGATTATCCCTGAGGGCTGAGTGATGAGCTGGAGGTTTTGGTAGAGTGAGGCCAAATCCCTGTGTGGCTCCAGGAACAAGGATAAATATAGCCAGAGTAATTGCTCATGCTCTTTTAAGGATTAAAAGTCAGCTTTTGGGCAAGCTGTGAAGCTCCATGACCAGGATAGCAAGGGACACAGTGCCATTTTTAGAGCTGTGGTTAGCAATCGTTGTGCACTGGATCTCAGGCCTCCATGATGCTGCTCCCACTTGACTAATGGGGTCACCCGCACTGCTCCACACAATGAGAGGACGAGAACAGGTCTGAGGTATTCCTTCCAAATCCCACCAGCCAGCCCCATCCGGTTCACTAACGGTATCCAACAAACCCTTTTAAATGAATGATCTACGAGAAGATTGCATCTTAAAAGTACCTTTCAGAATAAGATTTATGGACCAATTGACAGTAACAACCTAATGCCAATGTCCTGGTTTTGACATATATTGTATAGTAACAATACAAGATAGCACCATTGAGGGAACTGGCTTAAGGGTTTGTGGAACTCTGTACTATTTTTACAACTTCCTGTGTGTCTGTAATTATTCCAAAATAAAAGGCTAAAAAAAAACCCCACCAATAACCTTTAGTCAGGATTGTCCAACCCTCTTGACATTTGGAGGAGCCAGTGCTGGAAAATGAATCGATGTAAGCAAACCCCATTCACAGTGATGTTTTTGTTTTATTACTATTATTGAATATAAATACATGAGTTATTCCTATGGTCCAAGACTTTTAATATATAAATAAGGTATACAGTGGATGAACTTTACTCCAATCACTTAGTTCTCTTCCCTCTGGGTAACCAGTGTTTGTTTGTTTGTTTTTGTTTTTCTCCGGTACCGGGAACCGAACTCACGACCTTGCGCTTGCCAGGCAGACGCTTTGCCGCTGAGCTAAATCCCCAGCCGCGGTAACCAGTGTTAATGGTATTCATTTTTATGCTTATTTTAATGACAGTCTATGCACACACGTGTAAGCACTTGTGAATGTGTATGTATAGATATAAGTATACTTGTATATGTATAAATATGCATCCTCAATGTTATGGTTTGTGTGTGGATGTCCCTCCAAAGCCTTATGAGGTCATGGGGGGCAGGCTTTCTGGAGGCGACTCAATCCAGAGTTTGTGACTGGTTCATTGTCTTGTGCTGAGATTGGCAATGTGAGTGTGACACCGCCCTAGGGTGGGTAGCCTGCATACAGGGATGGAAAGAGGTTTGCTCCTCCCTTTCTTCCCCTTTTGCTCTTGCTGCTTTTACTATTTTCCACTGCCACGAACTGTGGCCCTGTGCCATGTGCCACCCTGCCTCAGACCCAGCTGATGAACTGAAACCTCCACAAACTACGAGCTAAAAAAACCTTTCCTTCCTTAATTTAGGGCATCAGGTATTTTTCCCCAGCAATGAGAAAAGTAACTCAGACACTCGTGCATTGATTGGTACCATTTGCTAGATGCTATTATTTATCTTGCTCTGAGATAATGAATCTTGGTGGCTTTTTACATCAGCACATCAAGAACTTCCTTTTCTTTTGTTGTGGCTGCACCCTATCTTCTTTTATGACCCCCAATTAGTGGACAGTTACGTTGTTTCTAATACTCTTGCTTTTATAAACAACACTGCAATGAATAATTACATTCATCTGTCATGTCCCAAATGTGGGAGTGTGTTTCCAGAATAAATTCCTAGAAGTAGAATTGGGTCAAAGAGTATGAGACTTACAATCTTGATAGTGCTAAATTGTCCTCTATAGAGCTTATTCCATTTATATGCCCACCAGTCATGTGTTTTATAAGATGCTTGTATAAATGCAATGCGTTTAAAAGGTTATTTGGTGACCCTTTTGTGAGTTGGGTTAAAAGCTATGGGCCTGCTGGGGATTTAGCTCAGTGGCACAGCGCCTGCCTGGCAAGCAAGAGGTCGCGAGTTCAATTGCCAGTACCAAAAAAAAAAGAAGCTACGGGCCTTTAACCAAGAACACAGATTACACAATGTTTTGTGTACAATTTCGGTGAGCTTAGAGACCCACAAAATGCATCCTAGAACCCAACTTTTAGAAACTGTTGCTGAAGGGGCGGCTGTATATTAAAGAGGAAAGAGTTTTAGACCAAACCGCTAGATTTACATTTCAGTCCTAACACTCATGTCTGTGGAACATTGGGCAAGTTATTCTACTTCTTTGAGCTTTGGTTTCCTTTTTGAAGGAAAGATATAATAATTCTACCTCACAGACACTTGCAAGATACATGCATCCCTTTATGTAAACCATCTAGCATAGTAGTTTAATGTACGGTTTTGTACACATTCACATGCGTGCACACTCACTCCCATGCCTTGGTTTTATTTCAACCTCTGGCCCCAGGTACCCCTGTAGTCACTGCTACTGGATTCATGAGATTACCTGTGGAGCAATGTTGCCCAAAGTGCGGCCCTTGTAAGACCAGCTGTGTAAGAATCACTTGAAGATTTTAATTCAAATGCAGATGCCTGGGTCCCACTTCAGACCCATGGAATTAGAATTTCTGGAAGAGGAATCCAAGGAGCTTCACATTGGGAATTCTAAAGCATGCTGAAGTTGGCAAAGCAGTGCTAAAGAGTTTGGTAAGTTTTTTCTCCTCCCTAGACTTCAAGTCTAGTGGCTCCTACCATGTGCGTTTGCCAGCAGGAGGCTATACCAGCAGATGGACAGGTGTGGACACCTGAAAGAAAGTCTAGCTAGTGTGCAAGGCAGTCCCTCTTTGTTTCCTCACTATAAATTACCATTATCAATGAGGGTAATGGGTAGCATGCCTGCACCTCCACCAGCGGTCTCCCTTAACACTTGGGAGGAGAGACAACCCAGGAGTACATGCCAGAGGACGGAGCCGGGAGGGAAGCCTGGTGGGACAGGCTCAGTGGAGAAAGCCTGCCACAGCGATGTTGACTGACCTATGCCCAAGTCCCAGGGATGGGGACTGCGCAGGTCTCAGCAGTCATCACCAGGAGGGCTTGAGACCGCAGGCTTTGGAGCCCCAATCCCTACTGCTTCTGCTCACGACAGGTGAACGTTCTCCGGAGTGGCAAGTGATGGCCTAGGGTGAGGGCTCCTAGATTTAGCAAACAAAAATGCAAGATGCCCCATGAAATTTGTACTCCAGATGAACCACACACGATCTTTTAGAGCAGCATACCCCATGTAATGTTTGGGACTTACTTGCACTGAGATAATTATGAGGGTTTTTTAAAATTTGAAATTTAAGGGGCTGGGGATTTAGCTCAGCGGCAAAAAGCGCCTACCTGGCAAGCGCAAGGTCGTGAGTTCGGTTCCCGGTACCGGAGAAAAACCAAAAAAAAAAAGAAAAAAAAATTTGAAATTTAAATGTAGGTGGGTAAAATAAAATGCAATACAGTTTGTATAAGATCTTGGGATGGAAAATGGATATTAGGATAAAAAATAATGAAATCTGACTAAAGTAAAGACTTTAGTAGATGACAATATATCCATAGTTGGTAATTCTTATAATAACTGCACACATAAGGCAAGATGTTAAGAAGAATTACCTAGCAATCCTATACAGGGCTTCTTTGTGCTGTCTCTAACCCCGGAAGGCCTGGAGATGCCGTGCAGATGTCCTAGCTTGGTGCTCCATGGTCTTGGCCTTGGATGGGACTGCACCCTCGGCGGGTGGAGAGTGAGTGTGGACTTTCAGGAGAGAGACCGCCCTTCCTTACTGGGCAGGCCACAGGCAGGAAGCCCATACATGCTGATCCAGTACTTATGAGATGCTGGCACTTGGATACCGTCTCATTTCATTCCCCTATTAACCCAGAGAGTTGGGTATTTTCACTGTTATCCCTCTGCCCCCACATACACATGCACTTTACAGATGAGGAGACTGAGGCTCCACAACGCTGACACTACAGGGCTATTAAGTGGGGGAGCAGGGATTGACCCTTGGGGCTGGCGCAGGTCTGGGATTAGCCGAATCTCCCAAGCCCTTCTCTCTGGTAATCCTAAGGGTTTAAGGTGGGAGGAGCCCCAGCCCCCAAATCCTCAGCACAGGAAACATTCCCAGTCTCTCCTGGCTCTGGGCCAGGGTCTTATCCAGGCTCACATGCTTGCTGGGGACTCCAGGGCCATGGGGGGTCTGCAGAGCCCCCGCATCCCCATCAGACCAGGGTGGCGTCCGGCTGCACAAGCCACCCATGGGTGCTGCCATCTACTGTGTAGGCACCATAGGAGGGGCCCAGGGTGAGTGGCTGCCTCACAGGCCCAGCCTACCCTGAGGCCCAAGGCTGGCCGGTGGGTCCCCTGCCCAGAGCCCCAGAGCTAGGCTGCAGGGGGCTCCTGGAGGAGCTCTGGCTCCAAGTCCCAACCCCTCTTGGAGGAGGCGGGCAGCTGAGGCTCTTGCAGCCAGAGGCTTCTCAGCTTGGAGCTCCCGAGCCAGATGTAACATTGACCTTAAATGGTAAAAGCTCCCCAGAGTGAAGAGAGGCTGGCCAGAAGAGGAAAGGGGAATAACTCAGTTTTAGGTAAGTCATAGCTATATCCTAGAATAACCTGCCTCTTCAGCCGGGAGAGAAGCAGCGGGAACCCTTCTCCTCCTTAAAGGTACAGGGTGCTGGGATGGGGGCACTTAACTTGAACTTTCCAGGGGAGCTGGCTTTGGTGGGTGGTATTTTAGCAGAGTGTCTTTATTGTTGCTGACTTAAGATTTAAGTAAAAAGTGAATCTTGCCGGTTGGTCCTAACTTCATTCTGTTGTGCTCCTTCTGTTGGTTGTTGGAGAACACACACGCCTTGGGTGAAGTGTGGCTTCCCACTGGGGCATGCCCCCCTAGCCTCCACAGGGGCCCCTTTGAGGCAGTAGAGTGATTATGCAAGCTCCCAGGCCGGGCTTTCTCCCTTCTGTGCTTCCTGCGTCTCTCCTTCTGTCCCTTGTGCCCCTATGTGTGTGAACCCTGTGCTGGCCCAGTCTGTCTCACCCTTGACCCTGCCCCATCTCTGTCCCTGTCCCTCCTGTCCTGTGTTCTGCTCACAACCCATTTTTATCTCTGTCTCCATCTCTCCTTTTGTCTCCGGCTCCCTCGCTTCCTGTACCCTTGCCTGGCCCCTCACGGGGCTCCATGTTCCGGGTCTCTGCCTGGGCCCAGCCCTGTTCCCTCCAGGGCCCAGGCTTGAAGCTACTCCTAGAGGGAACTGTGCTCAGCCTGGCTCTCTCAGAAGGGAAGGCCAGTGACAGCCACAGGCCAGCTGCCTCGCTCCCTCCTGTGCAGTACACAGTCGTAAAAGCTGGAGAGGCTCTGTAGTTGGTGTAAACATTCGCGCAGCCGGGACCCCTGGCCAGCACTCCAGCCACCCAGAGTGGCAGCTGCTGTTCTAGCACCTCAGGCAGCTCTCAGGGCAGGCTCAGAGTTGGACAGCTGGGCCTGCTGCAGGGAAAAGCAAAAGCTTCCCAGGCTGCTATGCTGGATCCCCAGAGGGTGGTGACAGACTCATGAGGGGGCTAGAGTTGCCTACCTCTACCCTCACACTGTTATGAAGGGGTAACTCAGGTAACAGACTTGCCTCGGGTCATGGAATGAGAAGAAGCAGAGCTGGGACTTGAACTCAGGTCTGCATGACTCTGACGCCAGGGCTTCTGCCCCTCAACAGAACTGTGTGTGCCAAGGTGTCTTGCAATTTTTTTTTTTTTTTTTTGGTACCAGGAATTGAACTCAGGACCTTGTACTTTCCAGGCAGGCACTGTGCCACTGAGCTATATCCCCGGCCCTGTGATTTTTGATCTAATGGACAAAACAGTTGGCATTGTCATGTTTGTTTGCTTCATGATTCAGTGGTGTGTGTGTGTGTGTGTGTGTGTGTGTGTGTGTGTGTGTTCCCACACATGTGTTGGGGGTGGTTGTATCCACAACTAATTGTCACTCTACTTGATGGTAAGTGAGGCTTCCCTAGGTCATCCAGGGAGGAATCTATCTGCCACTTGCTACTACGTGATCAGTCAGCCCCGTACATATATTTTCGGTGAGAGGGGAAGGAAACAGGCAGTGCTTTCCAAACATTGAGCACTGTTTTAAGTCTTTTTTGCACCATAACTCACTACTGCTGCAGCCTGGGACTATTACTCAGCAGGGACTATACCATCCTCATTTGATGGCACCACAAGTCACACTGCTGGCATTCGACCCTAGACAGCTGTCTCTGGAGACGGGGCAGCAGTGCTAGGAGTGATGTATTACAGGTGAGGACACTGGGGCCAGTAGGAGAAAAGGGCTTGTCTAAGTCACCCAGCCACCAAGAGGCAGAGCAGGGGATTTGAGCAGCATCTTGGGTGAATGTTGTTAGGGCCTTGTGACAGCTTCCACTGAAACTAAATTCCCCAGGGGCCCAGGAGAATGATTGTTTTGGGATGAAGAGTTTGTGTGCCCCTGAGAGAAAGCTGGAATGTGTTCCTGATGCACTGAGCTGCCCAGAATGGGTTCTCGGCTTCCCTGACGGCACAGCCTTTTTGCTCTGCAGTCTGTGTAACGAAGGTGGACAGATGTACCTGCACCTCTAGCAAGAGTAAAGACTGAACCCAGAGTTTTTCACTGTGTGTCCAGCTCTCAGAATGATGCCAGGAGCATGCCAAGTACTCAGGATGAGTTATCTTTGGGTGCATAAATGGACATAATGTTTATTACGAAGTGTGTCCTGGTTAAGCAGGGCCCTGGGTTCATTACGCACATATTGCTGGTGGCCAGCTTCTTCTAGTCTGGCTTCAGAGGATGCAAGGGGGAGGTCTCCATCATCCAGCCCACCTGCCACCGCTCCTGGTAGTCCCACAGAGCCACTGGGCTGTCTCACAGCTTCCCTACTTGACAGTCGCCAGAGCCAGGTGGATGGAGAGGAGGGCGCCTGGAGCCCTCAGATTCCATCCCTGCCCCTGTGCCTTGGGGCGCTCCTGAGTCAGGGGAGGGAGACGGAGCAGGGAGAGGTGGTACAGTGAATGCAAAAGGAAGCAGGGGGAGGAAATTGATATTAATGAATTGAACTCTTACTTTGCACCAAGATCTAGGTAAGATTATTTAATTTAACCCTGTGTTAGAGATGAGCACCCTGTGGTTCTCAGAGGCACCCAGATGCTGCGGGATTCCAGCTCAGGTTGCAGCCATCCAAGATGGCACTTTCTGCATTAGATGTCACCTTGCCTCTCCTTAGCTCAGGGCAACTCTTGAGTGTCGCAGTCCAGATCACGGGAGAAGCCAAAACAGGGAAAGAGGACGGCATGTTTTCCCTGTGGGCTTGGAGGCCAGACTCTGAGTTGAGGTCACAGCCCAGGACAGTCTCATCTGAGCACCTTCAGACCTTGCAATGCGTTGCAGAGGTGACGCCTGCTCATGACAATGGATGAACTCCACCTTCTCTGCCAGAGCTCTCTCTAGGGGAGACAGAAAGCAGGTGGCAGCAGGCAGTGAGATGGAAAACCTTCTTTCCCAGCCAGTAACAGATGTAAGAACAAAGCAAAGCAAAGCAAAACAAAACAACAGTTTGCTAAGGCTGGGTTTAGCTCTGGTTACTTTCTTCTATTACTTCTCAAAAATATGTAATTTTTATTCATTTTTTCTGGTCTACGTTCCTTGTCCAATTTTCTTAGGCAATATGAAAGTGAGCGTGAATAAGAAATCTAGAAATAAATATAAAGATTTAAAAACCCTCCAGAATTCCATCACTCAGAGATCAGTACTGTTAATATTATAGCATGTTTCTTTTTTATATTTAATTTTTTTTTATTTTAAAGAGAATAAAAATAAGGAAAAACATTAAAAATGATACAGAATTTTAAAACAAGCTGATAGGCGATCAATAGTGGTTGTTACATTGCATATTGTTATCTTCAAAGTAGTTGTTCAGATTACCAGATATAAGCATGTAAAATTGGTCAAAAAGTTAAGCATTAACTGTTCCTTACAATAAACCAATAGAAATTAGTAGTACAATTATCTTAGCTACTATGTATATATATATATGATTTTTTCCCCTTCTTTCTTTTCTCCTTTCGCTAGCAGTTTCTTTCCCTCTCACAATATCCATTGTACCTTTTGGGTTTTATTTTCAGATTCTCACACTAGGGAAACAATGCGATGTTTACACATGCGGGTCTGATTTATTTCACTTATGAGTATGGTCTCTAGTTGCATCCATTTACCTATAAAAGTATGTTCTTTTTTTATATTTCTCTATACTTTAGAAAACTGAGCTCTTACTGGAAATGTGATTTTGTAGTCTTTATTTAACTACGCATTCCATTGTAATCATTTTCTTTGCGTCACTGAATATCATTTAAAACATTTTTCAATGGCTGGATAAAATTCAGTCATTGTAGCTGTGCACCAATTTGATCACCCTTCCTGACAAAATGACAGCAGGTCTCAGGCGGGGAGCTCTTGGTATGCATTAGCAAGCATTTAATATCTGTTCCATTACATTTATTTTTACCATAGCTCTCTACTTGTGGTAAGCGGTGCAGATTTTCCCATTTAAGACAGGGACATAAAGTTTCCCTTTAAGTAAACATAATGATGGTGGTAGCTAGCACTTACTGAGCGCTTGCTGTGTGTTAGGTGCATTTTAACGCTTTCCATGCAGTAGCATTAGAACAGCTCAGCAGCTCCTGGAAGTAGTTATCGTCGTTATCTTCAGC